TAGCTCTTCTCCTTCTCCTTCTTCCTCTTCCTGCTGACGGTAAGACATTCTTAACCTCGGGAAATCATGATCTCAATCACCTCTAATTTCTTCCAATTCATTTCTCGCTCTCGCTGTGGATTGTGAATCCGTAGCGTGCTCTCCTTTTCCAGCAGGGTTTTCCAATCAGACCTGAATTGTTTGCATTGAATTGCTCATGGAAGTGGTTAGGTATAGACCGAGAGCGGGTCTGTTGGATCTCCATAACGTGAATACATGCTTGTTATATGGGCTGGAGTGAGTGGATTGGTATGATCCCCCGATAGAAGATTTCTTAGGAGGCACTACTGACCCTGCTATGGAAAGAAACATAAAATGGTTCAATTAGCCCGAATAAAACAAACTGTTGTTTAAAGTTTGGGTTAGTTCTTACCCTGACATGATTCACTTTTCCAGTAGGTCAACACTTGGCCAGGTGTACTGACTAGGGTAAAGCTGCTGCCTGCTATAATTTCGATCAGGCTGGTTCCCCCTGGTCATTCATTTGATTGAACATTCCATGTTTTTATATACTGCGGATCATCTCTGTGTAGACTGCAGACTGTAGACTACTGAAAGTTGACTGAATTAGCTTAATGTAGTCATCTACTTGTCTTTTTTTTTTTTTTTTCATAATATCTCTATTAACTTTATCAATGGGGTTTGATTATGTGATTATGGATGTAGTGTCTATTAACGAAGGTATCTTTCTTTGATTCTCTTCATTTTGCAGTTGAAGAAACTGTACTTTGTTAACATAGATAATGACTCTCCTGTTGCAGGTGAAAATGGCAGGGTTCAGCTTTTAACTGGCTTATACTATTACCTTTGATCACCCTTGTTTTCTTCAAAAACTTTGAAATCTGTGTCTGAGGGTTAAGGGAAGAGAAACCAGATTAAGAACTAGAGAGATTCATAAGAGGAAGGAGGGTAAAAAAATGGCAATGCAGTGGAGTTCGACTCTGTTTGTGCTTCAGATGGTTTGGTTGGCGCTTGTTGGATGGGTCTCATCTTGCTTAACTGTTGCCGACGAGGTTGTCCACTCCCTCAGAACTGGAGATATTGGCCCATTCATTATTGGTTGATGGAAAAATTCACATGTCTCCAGACCCTGGTGATTCTTTCAGACCAACACATCAATTCGTTATTTAAGTCGAGTAGCTGCTTGCTCCTGATTGTCGTTAGTGTAGCGGTTTGGGCCAAGTATTGCTGGTTTTAAAATCTTTATGTTCTCAATATTCACAATAATGAAAAGGAGGGAGATGGTGTGTATTGAGTTGATTGCCCCATAGACCTATGTGTTACTATCATCCCCAATTGTCTCTATAATGGTCTGCAGGTTTTGCTGCTCTCCATTGTCAAGACCAATATTCTGAATGCGCCCAACAATTATTGCTTCCTTATTCTGACTGAAAAACTTGTGCATTTTCTTGTATGGTATCTCTCTCTTCTTTTGAAATAAAATGTGCAGAATCTTCCGTTCTTCTGTAGCCAAGCTGTCGTAATCATAAATAGTAGTGCTAACTGTTAAGTACTCTCGATTGAATCTTTGTTGTTTATTATGAGGAGATACAAAAGCTTTGTTGGGTGCGGTGACTTGTGCAGTAGGGCTTATGTTCTCATGCTCCCAGCTTCCTGGTGACGTAAGTTTTTGTAAGTGGCTTCATAATCTTTTTGCGTACTGGAAACGAAGGTGCCATTCTGCACCGCAGAAGTGATTTCTTATTTGGTTCTTGTTTAACTTTCGGATTGCAGGTGGTTTTGATTACTGGTTTCTGATAGGAAAGCTTAATATGTGCAGGTTTTGTATTTCCTCGAGTAAGCCAATGTTATGTCAAAGTTCTGGCTCAGAGTTGTGGGAAGATATGCAAGGCTGACTTGGAAAATCAGGAACGGCCATTTTGAAACTAATAACTTAAGGTTTTACGATGAAGTTCCAGCTCCACAGTTGACTTCTTTTATTTAGCAGCACTCTATGGGGCTCTGTGGCTTGATACTTTTTCATGCTACTTCCACTGAAGTGCAGTCTTCTTGTTCCTGATTGGTGATGATAGAGAATGTCTTGTTTGCTGTACAGATTGATGAAATGGGTAGAAATAACTTATATGGCACTTGTTCCAGCTTGATGTTTGACAAATGCTTGCCGTCTCCATAGGCAAATTCACTGTGCTTGTATCCATGGTTGGAAAGGTTGAGTTGGTGGCTTGCTCGTAGGCAAACCAATACTACACCCCTTATCTGAACTTTATGAATGATATTTTAGTTAATGACACTATCAAATCGTTCGTATTTTGCGTAAGATACGGCATCGCATGGCTAACTACACTCAAATCGAGTTCTTGTCGTGACAATCTGATAAAGGGGTCGGATTTCCTCTGATAGGTGGTCTGCTTGTATCATATGTATAGATAGTAACAATACCTATCATGGCTGAGTTCTAAGTTCTAACTCAAATTTCTTCGTACAGTCCCTTGTGTGAACTTTCCAGTTTGTTTTTAGGGACCGAGAGAGAGAAAGTAAAAAGTTAGTGAATCAAACAACCATACTTGCGAAATTCTGGGTACACAGTGATAAAAAGTTAATCTAAACAATAAATAAATGACATTGCTATTCCTCGTCCTAAAATTCCTTATTTGTTGCCCTAATTAAATTAAAATTACTCTAATGCCCTTAATTCATTTATTTCTCTTTCAAACACTTAAATCCAAAACAAACTCATATACTTACACCAAATAACGAATATCAAATAATTCTATATCACATTGGTATATTTGTAATAGTTAACTAATAATTCCAATAACAGTTTTTTTTAAATCAATTCGACTTGTCTTCAACAGCAGCGACCGGGTTGAAAAGTCGCCGGCAACAGCTACGTCCGCCGCGGCAACATAATAATAATAAAAAATCATTCTTGTGTCATTGGTCGTCGTCTTCTTTCTGGCAGCGACACCGGTCGATTAGCAACGGCGGCAGGACTTAGGAGACAAGTAGTATTCTCGTCCGCTTCGTCTGCCTTCTGTCCGCTTCGTCTGCCTTCATCTTCCTCCCCGTGGTCGATGACAACGTCGTGATTGGGGTGGGCTTCAGATTTGGGTTGTGGAGGGAATTTGGTCGGCGGGAGGGATTGGGGTTTGGGGTTAGAGGGGATTTGGGTGGGCGGTCGATGAGGGTGGAGAGGGAGTAGTTGCTGGCGGCGGATTTGGGTGGGGAGGAGATAGGGGATTGTTTGGGTGGATAGAAATTGGGTTGAGGGTAAATATGTCAATTTGTTGGATTTTAGGGCGACGAATAGCGATTCAGTAAATAAAAGCCAAATGAGAAAATTTGAAGCCCCATTTCAAATTCCATGCATCCAGAGTGAAAGTAGGAAGGACATTTTGGTCTTCACAATTACTTTTCTTTTATTCATTAAAAAGACACTTACTAGGATTCGAACCATGACCACTTTAAAGAAAAACAAAGATCATAACCAATCATACTAAGTACATTTGTTGTATCTATTTAAATTAAAAACATATAATCGCAGAGGAAAAAATCCTTCCGCCATTTCAAATTCCCTCCTCCAAGAGCGTTTGTAGGAAGGGTAGAATAGGGAGTGTCAAGTTTTTTCTTTTTTCTCTGTGGAACGGGCCAACTTACCGTATGCGGATTTAAACGGGTCCAGGAGTGTCAATTTTTTTCTTTAAGTCCTTTTATTTCTCCGTGGTGGTAAAATATATATGAAAATGCAAAAACAATACTCCTTTTTATTGCTAAAAATAAAAAAAAATTAACAATAAACTAATGCATGGATTCTAATGGACTAACCGCTAATCATAAAATAAAAGAGTTGAATGGGCATGACCTACACGAGATTTGCCCATCAAGTAAAACAAATGAACATCATGGGTTTGTCATTCTAAAACAAGCTATTTTCTCTAGCATAATATATATTATGCTATTAATTTATATCTTAGTGGCTAAAATATAATGTATTTTAAAGTTATTCAATGGTTCAACCTCGACCAATCCAATTAGTCCAATTTTTATCATTTCAAATATATATTATGTAATTATTTGATATCATAATGATTAAATTATAGTGTATATTATAGGGAATCGTTTGGTATTTGTTAGTACAAAACTAAACAGAAAGATCTATTTAGTTATTTTTAACATTAAAACGATCCTAAACCTTTCCAGTTTCCTTTCGAAATTCTATAGTTTTATTCCTGAATCGGTGATGTGCAAATGGCGAATTGCAGTCATCTCTTTTCTTTCATTACTTTTTATTTTCAAATAGAAAGTTTAATAGTAAAGAATAATTAGAGTTTGGCATGGGTCTGTCAAACAGGCTAATTTCAAGTTTTGGTCCATTTTGATCAAGTCTAATTTATAATCACATGACTCCCTGATACCCGATAAAAATCTCAATCCAAACCAGTTTGGCAGGTGAGTCCGTGTTTACCACCATTTTCTAGGGATACAGGAACGGTGGTTCCTATCCCAAATCGTGGTGTTCATTCTTGATTTCTTTAGATTTTATCATGGTTTGGCAAAAAACCAGAAAGCACAATGCTGACAAGATGAAAGTTTTATAAAGCAAATTAATCGCCCAACGGGCCGAGTAAAAGCTAGCAACGATTGTGAGATGCTCATTTCCCGAAAACCGGCGTGATAGGCATTTTTTATTCGATTTTATGGAATTTGGTTTCTATAAAACTTACTCCACCTCATCATATTACCAGAAACAATATTGTTTCACAAGGTAACAGGTACTTGATTTTTGTTCATAAGGCTGATTTTTGATTCATTGCATCATATTACCAGAAACAATATTGTTTCACAAGGTAACAAGTACTTGATTTTGGTTCATAAGGCTGATTTTTTATTCATTACATCATTCATGTCTCTTTTCTACTGAAATTCATTATTTTTATCACGTGTTTCCAAAAAAAAAACTAATAATAAGCTATACATCCATTACATTATCAAATTTTATAAATCACCTTTCTCCGGCCATATGGCCGGGGCCACGCTAGTATAAGTACGATTGATGGTGGTCCCCATGTACCCAACATCAGGAGGCGATTCTCAACCTTTTCTTCCTCCTTTCCCTTTCGCTTTGCCGAATGCTGATTGCTTGTTCAGTTGCTGTGCTTTTATTAACACCGACTTCTCGCTTAGCAGATTACACTCATTATTTTCTATTCCCCTCCGACGACGAAGGTATAAGACGGGAAGCCCTCCATTCCTTCCATCGGTCTCTGTTCTATTTTGAATTTCATCGTCATCGGAACCTACCGCCGATGAATTCCGCGACCCACATCAAATAATCGAAAGCTTCTTTTCCAAGCTGTCTACTTGATTCTTGAGCTATAATTTGTATCTGTATGTGCCATACTTTGGACTAATCCCACTTTTTTCGTCTTAAAATGAATCAGGTTTCAGCTCCTGCATATTCGCTGCGAATTTTGGCTTCTCGTGGTTTCTTGCTATCCCAAGGTTAGGCGGCCCTCATCTTTGAATTTCCCTTTTCTTGGACTCCAAACAAAACAAAGAAAGAAGATAATCGTAATGCATTTTAACTGCTCGACGAAATGCTTAGTCCAGCGCTTTGCTCTGTGTTTTCTTTGATAAGTGTCAGCTGGGTTTGGTGGTAAAGCAGAAGATTACATCGGGATATTGGTGCATGGCGCCGTAAGTTGGTCGGTGTCACACCGATCAAATAGGTCGGTGTCGCACCGATCATCTATAGTCACTAGTTGGGGAGTCTTTTCGGGCAATCAATCTAAGCAACAAGAAGTGAACACTCTTTGTGCTTTTATGTTTTCGGCTTGGTCGATGGGCCCGACTCCAACATCCTTGTTGGCGAGATGCAAGATTTTGAAGCCCATATCAAACGTGAGCCAAAACAGAATAAATGGCCGATACTCAAACCTTTTCTTCTTTGCCAAATTTCGTTGAGGCTACTTAAATTCCTCTGACCAAATTGAAGTTTTACGCGATCAATTCCTTTCCTCGTCAATCCATATATCTGAAAAATAGTGATAAGCTGATCAAACGAATGATCTTAACTTTCTGCGGTGCGATGTGTCCTGATTGATAAATTTGGTTTGTAGTGCATCTGAGGGCTGGCCATTTCTCGCAGTTGAAAAAGAAAGATGGTTTCCGCGAATAGGGAAATGGCGGTGTATTGCTTTGACACTCTTGTTGCTCACTATAACAACGAGGAAGCACCCCCTCCTGCCTTTGACGAGGGCCAACAGTAAACCCTTTTCTCCAATGCTTTTCCTCTCAACATTCATTGATTTGTCATGTCTGGGGTCATTTGATTCATTGTGATTCTGGTGCAAAGGAAACCCCTTCCTTTATCATTGTCTTTGGCCTAATTTCTTTCTGGAGACCCTCTTTTTAGAATGGTTCAGCGATTGATTTCATGGTTTGAGCTACTAATTGCTTGCTTTCTTCTTAATACTCTCTACAAGGTGCCGGAGGCTTCCCTGTCTTTCATTCTTATGAACTCTTTGCTGGTGTTAAAGTATCCTTGTACTTCACTAGGGTCGCCTTATCACCCATGAGTAGTCATAGACTAAGCTGCAAGTTACTGTAAACCAAGATTTCTGCTCTTTTCCCCTTTTTTATCAAATTGAGAGGGTGATGTTTCCGTGAATCTTATACAAGTTAAGCTTTTCAGTGTTTGCTACTAAAAGACCTGGCTGTCGTAACTTTTAGAAGATTGAAACAAGACATATGTTTATCAAGATTAAAATAATACATATTTTTTATGGACATGTTTCTATTTGGGGGGTCTGAATAAAAAGCAATATTATTTTGAGGCTTTTAGCTGACAACTAACTATTCATAAACAATTATGGGCTGTTTTCATCTCTTTTTCTTTTCTTTTCTGTTCAGTAAAATGTCTATAGTTTGATAGTTCTTTGTCCACTTAACTTTAATGATTAATGTTTGGAATATGAGCTTTATTTAAACAAATGTAGCTGAGACATTTTGGTCGAACTTAGAACTAAAGATCTCGTTTCCAAGCTGGTGCTCCATTAATGCATGAAACGAGGTCAAGACAATGCTAGGAAGCTTTTCATTGGACTTGTATCCAGGCTTTTCAAAGGAAACAAAGGAAAATTTGTTTGCTTGCTAGTCATACTTATAATTATGGATGACTCCACTGGTGGTAATCATGATAAACTCTTTAGATTCAAGCAAGTTTTTGAGTTTTGTGCTTTCCCTTCTGTATCTTTCCCATGATAATATTTTCTTTCTTATTTTGGTCTCTCCTATATTTAGTTTGCACAATTGTTTCTTTCAGTAGCGGTGATCTAATATTGACAGAGTGGACCTTGCAATCAGACATCCATTCAGTATGAAAATGTTAAATCTTTTCATTTGCTTACGTTTATCCTCACAATGAATGCTTCTATAGTTGCTCTGAGCTGGATATAATGGTGATGAACGTTCTCCTTTTTTTTCCCTCTCTCTCCAGTCCATTGTTTGTTACTTGGAAGAAAGTGGTCAATGGTGGTGAGCCTCGTTTACGTGGATGCATTGGGACTTTGGAAGCTAGAGGTTTGATTAATGGATTCAAGGACTATGCTTTAACCAGGTATTGATGATAATGTGTTCCTAATGCAAAAAACATTTATTTATTTTGTTGTAACCTACGTAAAACAGATGAGAGAGCTTTAACATGTGGAAATCACTATTAACAGTGAACTTTGTAAATGCTGTCAAAATTGATTTAAATTGTGTAAAAGATGCATTTCTATTTGACCCAAATCTCCTAGCGAAACTGTACAAACCATTAGAGGGTCTGTGGGTGCCTTCGAATTTCAGGATTACTTATAGAATGTCCTGATTGCTGCATTGTCTTGAAGATGAGGTTTAGTTCTTATAAGTTTTGTCCCTGTACCTTTTTAGTTGGATCCAAATAATTTCCTTCACTGATTTATATGTGAGGATAAGATGAAGTTCTGTACTAAAGCTGCATTGCATATCAGTGCTTTTAGGTTGCGTACAAAGTTGCATTTAGAAATTGCATTGTTCTTCATGCATAGTTAATTTATCTTGTGACTGTTTTATCTGGAGCACTTCTGAAACAATTCGTACAAATACCTGATTTCATTGTTTTTGGACTTTCGCTCACGTGATATATGTTGCACCCCTGCCTCTGTATGCTGCTTACGATTTTGTATATGGACACAGTGCTTTAAGGGACCGCAGGTTCCCTCCAATACAGGCCAAGGAGTTGCCTTCTCTAGAATGTACAGTGTCTATTCTAACTAATTACGAAACTGCTAACAACTATCTTGACTGGGAGGTATGTTATTTTCAACTCATTTTTCTTGGAATGTTGAGATTGCAATCTTTCCTCTAATTACTCAGTCATTATACCCAGAGTGTTGTATAAGCATATTTATGGTCTTCCTTTTTTGAAGTTTTTGCTACTGTCCTCAGGGTCCAAATCTTAGGCAGTGAATGAAAGTTTTGAGTTAAGCATGCATCTTCAAGTCAATGTTGCAGCTACTGCATACCCTAAATGCAGAAGACCTTTTATGATAAATTTAATACTGGATATGTATTGTTAAATCCTTACAAGTTATAACTATATGGTGATCTTGTTTTGAATTTTATCGAAAGGCTCTCTCTTTAAGCTTTTAAAAATTTCATGTTCGTAGCAAAAAAGTTGCCTTTTACATCCTTAAGAGAATGAAAATAAATCGTTCTTCACAAATAATAAGGTTTTGCATATTACTTTTGAATGCATGTATCTTGTTGGATCCTTGGACTATTATTGGTTAAAAGTTTTGAGTCGCAAGTGGCCATCAAATTGGTCAATGGTGTGACGGACTTATTTTTACAAAATTTCGTAACATGTTGATCTTTTCAAGTAGGGCACAGCATCTTATCACCTTTTGGAAAGAAAATAACAGCTCTTACTTCTAATGATCCTGATTGCAGGTTGGGGTACATGGTATGATTATTGAATTTACTGACCCTAACAACCAGATTAGGCGGAGTGCCACATATTTGCCTGAAGTGGCTGCCCATGAAGGTAAAGATTATTAGTTTGATCAGAGGTTGCAGATGCTTTTGGTTTTCTTTTGTCAAAAGGTTAATCATTGTTCTTAAAATGTTGCGGCGCCCCCATTCAACCGTACTAGAGAACGCTTGCACAAACATTAGGATTACACGTCAAAAGTTTGATCAATGAAAATGATCGGGATTGGGAAGTGGATTTCATTTCTTTCTTCGTTATAGAAATCCAAGGAAATATGCCATAATAGCCTATTCCTGAAATTTTCCTTCTACTTTATTTATGTGTGATTGCGTAACTAAGAGACTGTTGCAAGGCATTTTGAAAGTAACAGTTTCCTGCACTGCGAGCGGTGATTTCAGGTTGGGCGAAATTGGAGGCAATCGAGTCGCTGATGCGCAAAGCTGGCTACAATGGCGTCATCACCGAGTCACTTCGAAAGTCTATTAAACTGACGCGTTACCAGAGCACGCTTTTCACAATGACTTACAGCGACTACATCTCGTATGTGAAGGAAACCAGGGGGGTTGCAGCTCCGATTATTAATGGGTTTAGTACTAAGCTTGCCATGTAATTCATTCTTCTTCCAATCCAAGTATATGTGGGACAAAGAAACAACTTGGTTGTCAACTCTAAAGAAAGAAAACACATGGTTCTTTCGTTGTTGGTGTCATGCCATGGCGACCAATTTGTATTCAGAACTCCACGATGGCTGAAAATTTGGCAGCTTAAGATCTTCTGTTAGTGTCATGTCATTGCGACGAGTTTGTATTCATGTTCAAAACCAAGATGGCTGAGAATTTGGCAGCTTTCTGTGTGGGCGGCAAAGAGTTGTTCTGTGAACTCTTGGTTTCCTTGGTGGGCTGCATTACGAATGTTGGTTTTCATTTGGTAACCATGTTTGCATTCTGTTCCATGTAAAGCTTCCCTTCAGAAGCAGTCGTGGCTTTTAATGGAGTTAAGTCTGTTAACTAATATGTTATTCATCACTGGACAGTATTAGAGATGACAAAAAACTGCTTTGTTGCTAGCTCCTGAGGAGAGTTCCTGCCTCATCCCTTCAAAGTGGTTTGTTATATAAAACTGGGTCGGCATGTGCACGAGCTAAGGCTATGTGATCGGAGATCTCATTGCGGAATGCCATAATGGCTTCTTACTCTAAAATCACGCGCAAGTTGGAGAATGGATAATGTTGTGTTTTAAATCTATGCAAAAAAAAAAAAAAAACAAAAAAAATTGTGTGATTCTCAGCTAAAAAAGTAGTTGCATTGGAATATGTAGGTTCTCTTTTGAACTTTTTAGACATGAACACCGTTTGTACAAAACTAACCTTCTTTTGTTCTCCTTGAAGCGGCTCTACTTCAATCTCACAAAGATGATTTCTGTACATGTACTCTCGAAATACACTATTTCATCACACAATGTGTCAAATTTAGAAAGCCTTAATAACCCTTTCATCTTTAGGTTTGCCTTTATTATTGGATATTGTCTCATCATGAGAATGACACGTGACAACCTCACGCGCCGGGAACTTGAAATACGAAAACTAAAGAAAATTGAAAATACTAGGGTTTATTCTTCTTCGATAAATAAAATGTATGGGTTAAGGTACATATTTATAGGACGCATCCTATAAACCCCTTCCCCCTAACAAGGTAATCCAAACCGAATCCAACTCCTAAACGATTTACTACCTAAACAGAACAATAATAATCCGAAATAACTAAAGTAAACCTAGAAATACCCCAATAAGAATAGTAATTAATAAACTGAAAATGCTTCCCTTGCAGCCCGCCTTGCAAATGCATCAATCCACCCCCCCCCCCCCTCTTCCCCGATCATGATAAATTTGGATAATTTGGCGTGGTTACCACGGTAATCGTTTTAACCGGTAGTATTTGGTTAATTTGGATAATTGGTTTGATTTGGTTAACAAATTTAGCTTGTTTAGTTTTGGTGGTTTGGTTTCATATAAACCAAATTAACCCGTTAAGTAATTATCCATATATCTAATATATATTATATACACACACTTAATTGGCATAACCACTCAAGAGCCAAACATTCATTCCTTTTAATAAAGTTTAATATTGTTCATATACAATATACTTGTATTTGTAGAGTGTAGATCATGATATATGAACGCCCAATTTAGATAAAATTTATACAATATATTAGATGAAAACTTGAAAGAAAGGTCTTTTTCAACCTATGATAATTGCTAAGAGACTAATTCAATTCACACAATCACACCAATTAATTAACTCCATACTATTGACATATATATTTTTTATGGTTAATAAAAAATGCATTAAGCGCCAGAACCCTTGCAACTAAGGGCCCTCTAAAAAATACAAAGTATATTGATTACAAACCATCATCAAACTGAAATAAGACTACAATAAGCTATATACTACTGAAAACTGGACAAAGCATTTTGTGTATCTATCCGACTATTAATATAAAAAAAACTAGTTTCTGATCGAATCCGGGTCACTAGCTATGGAGGATGTTGTAGGCCACTTCCATAGCATCTTCGGCATCTCTCCTTCTACACAGAACTCATTACCATATTCCAAAGCAACTTACATAGTTTGAGTTTAACACTTGAACCATCCTAGAAACTCACAGCCTAACTCACAGAATCATGCCAGGTAGTAAAAACAAGAAGCGGAGAGAAGTCAACTAAGCTGTGCTGCAGGACATAGACAATATATGAGCAAGATGTAAACAGGTGGTCTCAAGATTCAACACCTCCTGGACAGAGCACACGTGCTACCTCATATGTCTTCCCCCATGCTGCAAACTTATCACGAGTGTAGATTATATCGAGCATAATTAGCCATAAGATCAAGCTATGCTTAGGATAGAGAATTGTCCCCAAACTAACTTAGATCATGGAACTAAAGTGTGAGAAGCTCGGATAGAAAGTCAAACCTTTTTCACTGAGAATCTAGGCATAGGCTGACCTGACCATCGCAGAGATGTACCAGCACCCGTAATAAATTGACATATATTTTTGTCAGGTGAATACTTCTATTGACTATAAGATAATTGTATTAGTTGTATGTATTTCTGTAAGGGCTAAATATAATTGTGTTCATTGTAGAGTTTTATTCATCATATAAATTGTGAATTGATGCGTTAACCAAAATTTTTCTCACTTAATGATGATGTGACGTTATATTGGTTAATCTGGTTAACCAATTAACCAAACCGATTAAACTTTAGTTTGGTTAATTTGGTTGTTGTATTAGTATGCACGGTTTGGTTATGATATTGTATTCCATGGTTAATAGAATTTTAGCTTGTTTGGTTTGGTAATTATCATGGTAAGCATTTGAACACTCCTAGTTGTTGACACAACAATGACCATAGGTGAACCGCTCATCACAGTTGTAGCAGAGCCCATCCATCCTACGCTTGGCGGCCTCCTTTGGCGTCAAATTACGTATAACTCGACGAGCTGGTGGTGATGGCCCGCGGCCTGGGGCTGGTGCGGCTGTGGCAGTAACGGTTGGCGGGGAGTCACCGACTCCAGCTGACACGCTAAAACACAACACCAAACTACGACCAAGTGTAATCAGACTCCGGAAATGCAATAAGTGTCAAGCTCTATTTGTCAACCCGGGGTCTAGATCTACTGCTTACTCGGTGATTATCTATTATCTAGCAAACTAAGTCGAGTGATTGTGATTTTAACTAAAAGCAGTATGAAAGCAGGAAATGGTTCAAAGTTCTTTAGCAAGGGAAGAGTCACTCGGGAATGAGTCCCCCTAGCTCCTTAGTTAGGTCAAGATTGTAATTACCCTGGGTTGATTAACTGTTGATTAAACTGCGGAAGATCCGACAGTAGCTTGGAATCTCTTAAGCTGACCAAGCCCTCTCAGGCAGGCTAACCGGCAGGCGACTAACCTTCACCGGGATAGACTGCTGAGGCAATAAGCACAGAACTCCACTACTGGAATTGGGTTCCAGTACAAATTAGTAAATCAATTAACTCTCGTATAACCAATCTACCACTACCGATTGATGAAGCTCTAACAACCTAATCAAATTCTATCTATCTCAGTTTGCAGTAGAAATCAAGAAAAGATGATCAGACTTCAATTGACTCAAAGAATCATGCATCAATCGATTATAACCAATCAGTATATCAATCCCAAGTCATTACAATCAAGATTCCTAACACATGGAACTAGGGTTCTTCATACCCAAGTGAGAGAAGGTTCTACTCCATAGAGAGAGTGAGGAAAACAGAAATCAGAGTAGTCATACTCATAAAGATGAGGATAATCTGCTTTGGGATGTCGATCTTCACTCCTAGGGACGCAATTTGGGCTTCAATGGTGAGAAATCCACTCCAAATAGCTCCTAGGGTGTGTTCTTCGCACTTTCTCTCTCTAAAGCTCTGTTTTTAGCTCAAAAACTCGATTCTCTCTCCTTTGGCTCGAATCTGCCTCAAAAACCCGATTATGGGCAAAATACAGGCTGAATTACAGTCGTAAACATGGTCTGCCCGTATTTCACCCAAAACGCGCGTTTTACTTAACACTGATGAGAGGAATTACGGTCGTAACTACCCATTACTGCCAGTATTTGTGGAATTACGACCGTAGTTCATTTTGCTCTTGCTCGTATTTTGATCTTCGAAGGCATTCTCAGGTATTTGGCTCGGCATTGCATTTACGGTCAGGGCAGTGGCAATTACGCCCGTAATTGGGCAGGGGATGCCCGTATTTCTTCCTCCGCACCTGTTTAATGCTTCGTTCCTCCCTCGTCCGGACTCCGAATCAGTTGTCGTTTGATCCCAGACGCTCGTAGTCTCATCCTCTTTCTTTTCATGACAAGATTCCATGATTGTTTGTCCATAATATGAAGTAGAAATCCATTATTCCTCAGGTTATGCTCGTGTTTCTTCTCCCAAATTTCCAAATGATCTCTGATTGACTTGAAACTTTCGCCTATGCTTCAATTTACATACTAGGATCTGAAATGTAACAAAGGAACACAACCTAGCGTAAAATATTCCAAGAAAGTAAAAACTCAAGCCAAAATGATCAAGAAACGAGGGTGCAAACATGTGCAAATACGACGTTATCAAATTCCCCCACACTTAACCGTTTGCTTGTACTCAAGCAAACCAAGTCAGATAAAAGGAAAGCTCAACACATTTCAATCATGCAACCCTTGGGGACATATCATATAGGCACGAAACTGGGGAATCATACTGGCTTTTTGACATCAACACATGAACAACTTCAACAGCAACCTGGACAACCACCACATAGGACATTCGAGTGCAGCATAATCGGGTAAAGGAAGAGTCTCCCTTATGTTCACCAACCAACCTAGACTTGATTCAACCACTTATTCAAGACAGTCAGCTCATGCATAAAACTCAAGACATCAGAATCAAGACCGAGCCATCTAGGTCCTCACCGGGGTAAAGAGTGTAAAGGACAAGGAAATGAATCTCTCACTCTCGACCAGCGGGGTCAGGACAAGTTGTTGCAAAAAATGCGCATACTTATTCTCTCAATCCCTAACGTCTCTTCACCATGACGGCAGCCTCTAAATGTTAGAGTTCACAAAAATGGGTGTCATCACTAACTAATTCGGAGGTCTTAGACACAGGTTCAAATGACTGGCTAGGGTCTTGGACATGGGGAAAAAGCCTTTTAGGTGGTGGAAGTATTCATAGCACAAGGTTCCACAGTTCCAAACCCAACACGTTTACAGCCAATCAACCCACTTACTTTCTTTCTGCCATTCTGCATTACTCAAATTCTTTAGAGCACAAGAGCGAAGGAGGTCACAATAATGTTAGTATTTCTAAGCCAGACTGCTAAGAAACACTACTTAATGAGCATGATTCAGATTCTTGGTAGTGGCTCTCTTTTGCTTTCATTCGTTTTTTTCTTCTTTTTTTTTCATTTCATTTCCTGAGAGAACCACCTCTGCACATTTTTCAAACACATGCCCAACTTTTAAGAATTACCTCCAACCCTCACATTATTTTTAGCAGAAACAGCAGAGAACACGCAAAAACCACTTCGTGGAACCTTCTAAGAGATGCAAAAGGGTGATTTTCCATTATACACCGAAAGATAGTGACACGGCTCAAAGGGGCTGACTAGGGGGTATGACACACCAGGACAATCAATTTGGTCGTGGGCTATTCCTATGCCTCCATCATCTTAGCTAATGATAACGTGAATGCTACACATAATGTAAGAGGGATCTATTTCACAAGAAAGAAACGAACAGGCTCAAATCTCACATGGCTACCTATATGCTCTATCTCTCATTCTGATTCCCTGAACTAGATGCATAAACGACTGTCAAGAACAAGTGATCAATCCAAGTCACAGTTGGTAAGCAAACAGTTGAAAAACGGATCCCTACACAATCCTACTGCACGTCTCAGTCATCATCATAGGTTTTCCTAGTTACAATCAAGTTGTCATGCATTAATTCGAAAGTCATTTGATTCACCAATCAAATCCACAGTGCCAACATGATAATGCAAACCTCAGTACTTGGAGCCCTCAAATCTCGAGATTTGTACAGCAGACTAGGCTCCAAGCACACATATATAGATTCCAACCAATACAAAGCACTCACCCACACTTAAGTTCGACATTGCCATCAATGGAGCAGAGGGAAAGACAAGGGGAACGATGTTACCAGAAGGAAAGACTGTCGGGGGACTGGAAGTGGACCAATCAGCGGGGCTAGCATCAGCAAAACACACTGGGTGATAGAAACCATAGTTCCAAGTGGACAAACCAAAAATAAACGAAAGAAAACAAACCTTGGTGGGGTTGCCTCCCCACAAGCGCTTTTTTTACGTCTTTAGCTGGACGGTGGCTCCTAAGTTTCGGTCCACCCCAGAACCTCCTTGAAGTTGAGGTTCTCGTCAATGATGTGGAGTCTCAAGTCACAAGTAGGTGATGTGATAGGTGATGAAGATGGCTCGTGGCCTTGAGGAAGATGAAGTCTCTACTCTCGAGACCTCTCCTTCGCGTTTGCTCTTGTCTCATTTCCCCAAACCAGATAAGATATCATCGATTGACCACTATCGCATCCACCAAGAGGGATTGATGTTGATGTGATCTTGGTCTGGCAAAGAGACATTGCAAATGGGTCCTTGCCAAGCAGCTCCTTGAAGTTTGGTGGAGATATCACATGTAACATAGGGCCGGTGCAAGCCTCTTCCACCTCAACTTCTTCCTCAGCCTGGACGCCAATTGCTTCCTCCACCCCCCCCCCCCCCTTTCTTCTTCAAAATGTGGTCTCTTCCCTTGGAAAAGATCAAGAACTTCCTATTCTTTGCTTTCTTCCTCATCCTCCACAACTTCTTCCCTCACCCTTTCTCGCTCTCCTTCTTCTAGCACAGATTGGAGAGCAAGTCGCCATGTAATTTCTTCAATGAGATCATCTTGCATCTCCTCGCTCGGGCCCAACATATCAGAGCAGAAATGGGGACAATTGTGATCTACCACCAGAGGATACACTTGATCATGATTATCATGGGAGCTTTCCGTGACAACTTCTGTATGCTCCTCAACATCCTCATGATTGCCTTCTTCTTCCTCCTCCTCTACTTGTATGGCAGCATAAAGGTTGTCTTGAGAAAACTGTGCACAAGCTTTCTCAATGACCTCTATGTGCTTCTTTATGCTACGAAGGGTATCCGTTTCACGGGGAAAAGAGAATCCAGTTTGGGCCATTGCCTGGATATGAGGATCCATCTTGTGAAAGGATCTCTCAGGTACTCGAGCAATCTGCTCCACGAGAAGCCTCAAGTGATAGTTTGGATCTGGCTGTGGAGTGTAGCATGGCTCTGCTGGATGGCCCGGGAAGGCTGTAACTAAATCAAGATCTGCTGGCCCTTCTAGTTGTGGGAGGAATTCTTCTTGATAATGAGATTGTTCTTGAAATACCCAAGGGTCTGATTGTTCATCGTAGTAGGGGGGTTGGTACTGAAACCCGACTCCATAGTCTCCTCCTCCTTGGGTGCTCCAGGAAGTCTCGAGGTAATACCACTCGGGTTGTGGTGGATACTCCCAATGGTTGGAGAAGCCTTGAGAATCCATGTATCAGATCTGCACCAACAAAAACAAAATACCCAAGTAAAAAGCAAGGGTGGAAAAGAGAGGATACATAAAAGTAAATGCTAAAGTAACAGACTTTCATGTTTCTACAATAACCTAGAGTCCCCAGCAACGGCGTCAAAAACTTGACACGCTAAAACACAACACCAAACTGCGACCAAGTGTAATCACAGTCCGGAAATGCAGTAAGTGGCAAGCTCTATTTGTCAACCTTGGGTCTAGATCTACTGCTTACTCCGTGATTATCTATTATCTAGCAAACTAAGTCGAGTGATTGTGATTTTAACTAAAAGCAGTAAGAAAGCAGGAAATGGTTCAAAATTCTTTAGCAAGGGAAGAGTCACTCGGGAATGAGTCACCCTAGCTCCTTAGTTAGGTCAAGATTGTAATTACCCTGGGTTGATTAACTGTTGATTAAACTGCGGAAGATCCGACAGTAGCTTGGAATCTCTTAAGCTGACCAAGCCCTCTCAGGCAGGCTAACCGACAGGCGACTAACCTTCACCGGGATAGACTGCTGAGGCAATAAGCACAGAACTCCACTAATGAAATTGGGTTCCAGTACAAAGCAGTAAATCGATTAACTCTCGTATAACCAATCTACCACTACTGATTGATGAAGCTCTAACAACCTAATAAGATTCTATCTATTTCAGGTTGCAGCAGAAATCAAGAAAAGATGATCAGACTTCAATTGACTCAGTGAATCATGCATCAATCGATTATAACCAATCAATATATCAATCCCAAGTCATTACAATCAAGATTCCTAACACATGGAACTAGGGTTCTTCATACCCAAGTGAGAGAAGGTTCTACTCCACAGAGAGAGCGAGGAAAACAGAAATCAGAGTAGTCATACTCATAAAGATGAGGATAATCTGCTCTGGGATGTCGATCTTCACTCCTAGGGAAGCAATTTGGGCTTCAATGGTGAGAAATCCACTCCAAATAGCTCCTAGGGTTTGTTCTTCGCACTTTCTCTCTATAAAGCTCTATTTTTTAGCTCAAATACTCGATTCTCTCTCCTTTGGCTCAAATCTGCCTCAAAAACCCGATTATGGGCAAAATACGGGCTGAATTATGATCGTAAACATGGTCTGCCCGTATTTCACCCAAAACGCGCGTTTCACTTAACACTGATGAGAGGAATTACGGTCGTAATTACCCAATTACTGCCAGTATTTGTGGAATTACGACAGTAGTTCATTTTGCTCTTGCACGTATTTTGATCTTCGAAGGCATTCTCAGGTATTTGGCTCGGCATTGCATTACGGTCAAGGCAGAGCCAATTACGCCCGTAATTGGGCAGGGGATGCCCGTATTTCTTCCTCCGCTCCTGTTTAATGCTTCGTTTCTCCCTCGTCCGGACTCCGAGTCAGTCGCCGTTTGATCTCAGACGCTCGTAGTCTCGTCCTCTTTCTTTTCATGACAAGATTTCATGATTATTTGTCCATAATATGAGGTATAAATCCATTCTTCCTCAGGTCATGCTCGTGTTTCTTCTCCCGAATTGCCAAATGATCTCCGATTGACTTGAAAATTGCGCCTATGCTTCAATTTACATACTAGGATCTGAAATGTGACAAAGGAACACAACCTAGCGTAAAATAGTCCAAGAAAGCAAAAACTCAAGCCAAAATGATCAAGAAACGAGGGTGCAAACATGTGTAAATACGCCGTTATCACCAGCTCTCCCTACTAGTGTCGTCGGGGTCCCTCGAGAGGAGGTCCCACTCGTCGTCTTCTCCACAAGAATTTTCTCTTCCCGAATCTTCGTTAGCCGATATGCATCTCTCGTGTTCTGCGGATTAAAGACCCGGATGTATGAGGAGATCTCCGGTTGCAATCCACCCATGAAAATGCCCATGATGGCCTCTTTTCCCCAGCCACGACAGCAATTGAGCAATTTTTTGAAGGTCTGCTGATATTCTTCCACAGATCCTGACTTCTTGATCTTGGCCAGTGCTTTATGTCCTGCGGCTTTCTTTGAAGCCCCATACCGCTTCCAAAACTCTTCGCGAAAGTCTTCCCACCACATTTCCATACCACCTTGCTCGAATTCCTCTTCCAACCACATCACCCACTGGTTGGCATCTTCCTCGAGATGAATTGCGGCTAGGGCGACGTTCTGATCTTTCGTAATCCCCTGGTACTTGAAGTATTTCTCCACCCTGGACATCCAACCGGATGGATCTTCATGGTAATTGAAGCGAGAAAACTCGATGGTAGCGGTTCGCCCTTTGAACAAGGCTGCAGCGGCCTCGCCCTTGCCTCCGACTTGCCCTGACCCGAAAACTCATGACACAACTCGCCTAGTTCGCTCGATGTCGCCCCACCTGGCTGGATGAATCCCGGCGGACGGTTCATCTCTGCCTCCCATCTGACGGCTCGATTGCCACACGAGAATCCTCGACCCAGGACAATAACACCCGACCTGGACCCGAGGTACCCTCATGTCTCGCTTGGGGCACCCTGCTCCACCCGATGCTGCCCCGACCCGCTGGGTGCAGCTCCCAATCCAACGACACTTGGACTCGTCGATCCTCCCAGGTTCGTCGGAGGTGCTGTTGCATTCATCGACGGAAGGTGGTTGCCCCTAGTGTCCATCGCCAAGCTTCCCCACGCGCCGCCTAGGGCCTGGATCGCGTGGTCTCTCGTCTTTAGAAACTCGTCGCCCCTATTTTAGCTTCCCTTGCCTGTCGTCACATCGGGAGTCATGATCATATGAGAAGAACTGCTCACCTTACCCTCGAACTCTGCCTCGCTTCCCTCCAGTTTTTTGCTGGCTGCAATCATGTCGACAGTCCTCCTACGCTCCTCCCCGGACTCCTTGGGTTTCCCGGACTCTTTTCGCCCGACGAGCGTCAGCTCCTTAATTGTCTGCGTTAGGTACACACTGTTGGCTTAGACATCCACGTTGTTGTGATCGATCCGGCCGTCAGTCACCTCCTGTCCTTGTTTCAGCTGGTCATAACGATCCCGAGACTCATGTCGATGCGCTCCATTCGGACCTGGAGCTCGTCTTGTCCTTGCTGTAGAAGATTGGTTGCCGACGGAATCTGCTGGGACCCTCCTTCACTGATCGAAGACGGCGATCAATCCCTTTCACCCTCGTCCTCAACTCTGCCAGCACGCGGCACGCATGGCCGCTAGCCTCCTCGTCGCTCGCGTCCTGCAAAGCGGCCGCGTTCTTCTTCGGCGGTATAGTCCCGTTTCTTGTCGAAACCGGGCTTTGATACCAATTGACGTGTGACAGCCTCACGCGTCGGGAACTGGAAATACGAAAACTAAACAAAACTAAAAATACAAGGGTTAATTCTTCTTCGATAAATAAAACGTAAGGGTTAAGTACATATTTATAGGACGTATCTTATAAACCCCTTCCCCCCTAACAAGGTAACCCAAACCAAATCCAAATCCTAAATGATTTAGTAGCTAAACAGAAAAATAATAATACGAAATAACTAAAGTAAACCGAGAAATACAAAAATAAGAATAATAATTAATAAACCGAAAATGCATCCCTTTGAGATAATTTTGACATTGTCGCACCATCAATCAGAACTTTGTTTTCTCCTTAATCATAGAGAATGAGGCTGCCAATTCTACTAGGTAGAGTTACTGACATAATGATTTGTGGGCCACATGTCCACTCCATTTCTTACCATTTTATCTAAAAGTGATCAACTCACATAGCTTCGATAAAGATTAATTCATCAATAGTGTTATGTTTCCATATCTATGATGAGATTTAAGTTATTGAATAACAACTTTGTACCTTTACGAAGTGCATTTATTGATGTTAGTGTTTGCGGGCCATACTATTGACCTTCACCGATCCTAGAATGGGTATTACAGTTTGACTTGGATGCTTCCCAAGATCCTGCTCCTCATTGACCATAAGTGCATACATTAATAGATTATGTCTTTTGTTTCATCCAGTGAGTTCCTTTGGGTACAATACAACAAAGTCTCGTCTCTTTTCATTCACTACACATCATGTGTTTTGATTTGGTATTCTTGCCTTGCAATCATTTCATAACATACTTCTTAATACATGATCATGGTGTTGAAGTCTCTCCACTTTATTGGCATTAGAGTACTTAAGCTTTACAAGTATCTCTTTCAATGTAGTTACATTTGTGACTTAGCTTAGGATTTAGATAAAGCCCTTAAGTTTCCACACCACTTCACTTGGACATCATTTTTTATATTAAAAATGTCCATATCATGGTTATTAACAACATTATATGCCACATAAGTATCTCATGCTTAACCAAGTTATTTGATTTGTCTTTTAAACTTACTCAAATGACATTCAACTAAGTGACAAGAAAATTCAAATGACATTCTACATATCTTCTTTCCAATATATCCCCTCATTTCAGCTATTTTGCCACTATAATAGTATGTTACAGAGATTGTCGAGATGCAAAAAAATAAGACACTCAATATATCTCAGAATATTCTCACTATTTCTCTTACGAGAAAACTCTTATCTACCCGTGATTGTGAAAACGTTTGACAACCGAAACCCATAAGAAAGAAATAGCTCAAAGAGCATACAAAGGAAATGGAGATGATGACGGAATGACAGTAGTAACTAATCACTTTGCCATCGCATGCCCCACCCTCAGGCAGATATTTCGTCTGTGCGCTAGTTATGTGAGAAAATAAAAAGGAAAGGAATAATAGGCAACCACATGAAATGCACCCAACACCTCACAAACCCTTTGAAACTATATCCACTCCCCATAATGAGCAGATGTGAACATTAGAGATCAGAAATAAACCCCCAAAAACCCAAAGGGATAACCCAACAAAAACAAAACAAATAAGCCAGGCCAGAAACAACAGCAGCAAAAAAACTAGTACTGGCTTGTTTGTTGCAGAGGACATTGCCATACCAGCACCCACTCCTTTCCATCTACGTTCAGACAAACAAAGAAGAACACATTTCACAGTAATGGCTATGAGAAATTGCTTTCAAGTAACCAGCAGTTCCTGCAAGGTTGGAATCTCTGCCCACTGCACAACCCATTCACTTGCCTCAGCAGACAAGCTCAACTTCCCATCTTACACCAGAAGAAGAGATTTCAACAACTCACTCACCATCTTACCAGCTTCCAAACCAAGGAGATCCCACTTCATATGCAGAGCTCAAGAAGCCCTTGACCAAGGTATTTCCCCCCCTCTCTCTCTCATCTCTCCCTTACTGTTAAGATTTGTGTTGTCATGGCTTAGTGACAAATCCATTGCTAAATTTTGGTTTTTAACCACCACAGTACAGTATTTGTGATAACGTAGATTGAACCTCCAATTAGCTTTGTGTTAATGTAGATTGGAATCAGGTCGGGTAGTGACCATCTCCATGGGTTTCACATTTTGAAGTGAACTACTGAATGTTAGCATAATGGTTTTGTGCAGTTAAACCAGTGACGGATAAGACATGGGACAACCTGGTGATAGCATGTGACAACCCAGTCCTGGTGGAGTTCTGGGCGCCATGGTGTGGACCATGCCGGATGATAGCTCCGGTGATCGACGAGCTTGCCAAGGAGTACGCCGGGAAGCTGTCCTGCTACAAGGTGAACACCGACGAGAACCCCAACATTGCTAGCCAGTATGGGATCAGGAGCATCCCAACTGTGCTCTTCTTCAGCAAGGGCGAGAGGAAAGAGAGCATCATTGGTGCTGTCCCTAAGTCCACTTTGTGTAGTACTCTAGAGAAGTACATTGATGGTTGAGAAGAAAAACAAAAGACAAACATAATTTCCTCCAATGCTTTTTTTTTTTTTTTTTTTTTCAAATTCAACCACTTTGTTCTCCAAGTTACAGTAGTATTATCTGATAATGATGGTCTAAGACACATGTGTATAAACAAGCATATCTATGTATTTGGAATGCTCCTCCTGCTGCAGCCTCAATTTTACAGCACAAGATACCTGATATAGTATATAACCAACATTTCCTTAGAAGGGTTTATTTGGGATTCGAGACTTTGATTCTTAGAATCCAGCGATTTCGGAGACTTCGAGTGAGCCAGAGATCCTTATACTTTCAGATCCAACGGACGATGCCGCATGCATGCATTCAAGCAAACAAGCTGACCACTAACGAACTCCTCCTAAATGGGTTTATTTGTATTTGCGGATCAAGACCATGCAAGAGTGTTAGCCCGGAAGAATGCTGAAACGATATCAAGGCGCATTCGAAGAGGATTAAATATTTCATTGATGATTGACGGGAGGAAAAACCTATGCTATATGTTTCACTCTTTTCTCTGGAAATTAGTACACAGTGAGTGAAAGCGGCCGGGGCAAGGAAAAAAACCTTAGGAAGAAGAATCCCACCCACGCATTCATCCCACGTAGCAATCCCAGCTTCGTTGCTCTCTCTATCTCTCCCTCTTTTCTCAGGGGCCACAACAAATTCTCGCCCAACACTGGTGCTCTGCACTGCGTCCAGCACAAGCAGCAGCAGCAGATCATATAATCTACACAACAGCAGCGAGCTGCGTCACAGCATCATCATCACTGGCAAGAGAATACAAACAGCATGTTGTGTGTATTTCAAGGAGACGGTTTCCAATCAAACTGCAGATTGTTGAACCCATTAACCGCTCCTAATCCGCTAAGCAACTGGTTCCCCAAATCCTGCTGTTGTTGATGATGATTATGGTGGAGGTGGTGGTTCATTGCTTGCTCTCTCACCATCGACGCCATCGCCATCCTTCCATTCATCATCAACGAGTTGTTATTGTTATTACCTCCACCACCCACCATTGCAGTAGCTCTCATCCCATTCGCCATGGCAACAGACTGCCCCCCAACTCCAACACCACCCATCGAACCAAATCCACTACCACCCATGTTATTCAAGTTGTTGATCATGCCACCGCCAATGTTGCTGTTTGCCTGCAGAATCCCGTTGGCGGGGTTGACAGTCTTCACATCATTCATTTGATTATTCATCATAATATCGTGAATGATTTTCTGGACAGAACTCTGAGAATCCCCATGGTCGCCATCACTAGAAAGAGCCGGCTGCTGTTGCTGCAGTGGAATATTGTTTGCTGGAGTACTATGTCCAAGTTGTGGAGCACTGGATGAGGAAGGAGTGGGAGACTGGAAAGGAGAAGGGTTAGGTGGTTGCTGAGCTGGCACTGTATTAGATGAACCGGGAGAAGGAGCCTGAGCCTGAGCCTGAGCTGAGTTGTATGGGCTGCTTGCATTATTATTGATGGAGCTCTGTGGTTGTTGTCTTGAGTTCATGGAGTTCTGGTGAAGAAGTCCGACGATGGTGCTTGCTGAGGTTGTTGTTGCAGGTGGGGGATTTAGGACATTATTTACGGACTGCATACCGTTGCTAGAAGCAATTTGCATTGCCCCGGCTTGGACGGAGCTCGGGTCACTGTTTGAGTTTTGGGGAACTGCCTGTTGCTGATGCGGCGGTGGTGCTGGTGAAGTTTGCTGTTGTTGCTGCTGTTGCAGTTGGTCCTCTGATGGTTGAACTTGAGCGCTGAACCCGGATGAAGCATTTGTTCTTCGAGGGAACTTGGCCAGACTCTCTGTAAACAAAATAAAATTAGATTGAGAAGCTGGTTGATCAAGAGGCCCCAACTTCTGCCGACTGATTAGTTCACATGAAGCCAAAAACAATGAATATCATAGTAGGGAAGGAAAAACTAATAATGTTACCCATAGGTCCAGTCCCTGTTTCTCGGCTGTAATCAATCAAATCTTTCATGCTGTTAACCACCTCTGATATCTGCAACCAAAGGAGAGCCAAAAAAATAGCTAAGATAGCTATGTATGACTTGTTTTAGCTACCAACTAAACTAGACAGTAAAACAATATGTCTAGCACATTGACAGCTGGTGGTGTCCACATTAGAGCATTTGATACAAGTTTCAAAGATGTAGCAATTTAAACTCTAATTATGATTCGGCTAGTTATGTGCATCTGAACTTATGATCAGACTGTCCATAGCTAAATTCTTGATCAGGTGTATATAACCTAAACTCTCTAAAAGCATTCGGAATTTACCGATCCCAGTACAATAAAGAAAAATAAATATGTACTAGGAATTGACTTACCATTTAGCACTTGAATCTGTTCAGAGATGGCAGACATCATATTGCTACCAAACCGATAATAAAAATCCGAGACACAACATTGAGATACATGGTCCAAGTTGAAAAATATTTAGTGGTTCGATGGATTTGAGACAGTATTCATAAAAAGATGGAGTTGAGACTCAATGAGACAATGACTCAAAGAGTAACTGGAGGGAAAATGATACGGCATGAGACATCAATAGACAGCAAAGTTCATAAAAAAGGTTCCACAGATCATCCTACTCAAGAAGCAGAACATGAAATAGCAATTTCTAATAAAATAATGTCAACAGAATATGTATCATATGGCCAGAGAGAGCAAACAGCAAAGCTTGTTAAACAAAATGGACAACAATTACATTAACATCTTCAGCAATGCTGAACACAGGAGAAAGGTATAAGTTTTACCTGAAGACAACGAACATATCTTTTTGTATAACCCAAATCATTCACCAAAGGCACTTCCAAGGCTTTTGCAAGCTGGCGAGCCGATGCAACAAACCTGAAAAGTGAAACAGATCAATCACTATCAAACAGATTTTACATATTTACATCCCAGGTCATCCGGACCTTCTTTTTTGTAAGGGAAGGATATTGTACAGGCATATTGTCTCAACACAAGATAGAAACCAACAAATTACTTACATATTACAATTATTTTGCAACTCCTGAACAGACAAATTGGATGATGTATTTTGAGTGGCAGCTTGATATTTTTGAGCTGCAGTACTAAGCTGACTGACCTGTGAATGTCAACATAAGTTTCCACATATCAGTCATGAAAAGGCGCATTCTTACTGAGCTTTAGCACAAGTGCACAGGATAGCTTACACCTTGTCATATCAGTATTGGGTTCAGTAACAACAAAAGTTCAGCTGCATGATTAACATGATCCTCAGACAATCCAAAGGAACCAACATGCCAGCAAAAGTTGAGCACAATCAAATACATAATAGTAAGAAACTGATATCCTTCACATCCCGCAGCCCTTGCATGAAATGTCTCAGGAATATGTGTCTTGGACTTCAACAACAAAATTATGAGAGCTTACTATACTTTCCTAAGTTCGAGGTCGATAGAGTTGCCATGACAACATATATTTCAAGGAACGGAAAGCGCAACACACTTGAACAAGAATAATTGATAGATTTTCCACAATTAATAGTGTGCATATCAACAATCATTAACATGAGTAAATTTATCTTGTAGAATCAAAAGAAAAAAAATTATTTAACTCACTTATATGATCACAACACATGCCTATGACTCCATGGATAACCCTTAAGAACAGAAACGAACACAAAACTGAACTAAAAGGAAACAACCAGCAAGTCTAACATAGAGGAATGTAGAAATTAGGGGGAACTTATATAAAGTCCTTACACGAGCATAACTGAGCATAGAAGAGAAATTGGCCAAAAGAATGTAAACAAGACCACCAAAATTGCACCTAGTTGTGGGAAGTTACTAAAATGGTTCAGGTCACATTCTTGCACTTTATCAGCTAAATATAAGAAAAAAATGGCAATGCACTATGTCAAGTGTTTTGCTAGTAACCTGAGGTACAAGCAATCTTCTAGGAATAAGCTCTTCATGACGCCGAGCGCAAAACTCCCAAGAACATATCTGGAGAACGAGCAAATTCCAAAATCAGCCAGCAAAATGGCACAAAATTGCAATTGGATCTGGATATCTGTTCATCCATATTTTTACCTTTAGTTCAGGTGAGAAGACAATTCGCAGTTGACCATCACGAACAACACGAAGTTGCTCAAATACGCTTTCTTGTATTGCTTTTGCATAATCCAAGACAATTTGACCCGACGAGTTAGGATACTCGTGCGGCATATCAACATAAAGTAGTTCTTCCAAAGTACCGCTTTCATATTTTATTTTGAAAAGCCGGGGAAGAACCTCAACAGTGGCCTCTGCAAGTGCAGTACAGTATATAAAATAAGTGTGAGAATTGAAAAAAGGGACAGCAATTAAAATTAGCATGTGGCCCATACCAAGAACTACATAATACTACACAGTGGACAATAATGTGCATTTAGAACACAGAAGAAAAAGATAAAGCACATACCAAAGCCACGGCCCGGTTTGCGATTGCATATCTCACAATGCCATACATCCTGCGAAATAGGCAAGCAATAATTTACCTAGTTAAGCAAGACACCAAAAATTCTCTACCAATTTTATATGGCTTGTAGACCATTTGAAACACAGCAACCCATAACAAGAGTGATGTTGAAATAATAAGAAAATCAGTTAGTTTAAGCAGACCTGGGGGAAAACACCAGGTGCCTGTCTACCACTTCCATACATGGAAACACACCACTTCTTCCTTGCATTGGGAGCAAAGTACTCCGCTACAAACTTTCTCCAGAATTCTATGTTGTTGTCCTGGACAAACAAGTAGTTGCAGTTACGCATCAAAACAGAACAGTCCCAAATATAGCTCTTCGAGCTAGGAAAACTTACTTCAGGTCTATGTTGTTGTTGATACATGTAACGTGTTAAACGTCGGGCACACATTCCAGGTTCATACACAGGTTTCGCCGGAGATCGAAGAGGCAAATTCTGTGGCTGAAACTGTTGTGGTAATTGAGACCGTTGCTGCTGAGGCATTGCTTTCAAGAGTTGTTGCTGCTGTTG